AGCCGCTGTGCGCTCCGCCAGGGCCTCTGCTCCGCCCGCCTCCTTGCTGCTTCCTCCCTCCCTCGGCCTGCCGGCGCGGGCCGGCCGGGCGCGGGGCGCCGGGCGAGGACGGCGAGGCGGAGGTAGGGCCCTTCTCGCCCCTGTGTCTTCTGCCTGCAGCGGCCGCGGCAGTGTCGGCTCGAGCGCCTAAAAGTCTCGCGGCGTCCCCGGGGGCGGGTGCCCTCGCTCGCACACTGGCACACGCCGCAGGGCCGGGAGAGAACGGCGGGTGGCGGCTGCGTCCCCGCGCCCGGCCTCGGCACAGAGTGCAGAGCACGCAGAGAAGGAGTTCTTCTCTTTGCCCTCTCTTCTTTTACTCGCCCCGTTTTTTCTCCCAAGGGGAAAAAGAGCCGCACAATCTCCGTATGTGCGCGAGCGCTGAGATAACGTTGGCGGAAAAGGGGGGTGGGGGTGAGTGTCGTCCTGGTCGTGCGGGAGGAGACGGTCCGCGCCTCCCCGCTCGGGCTTCCCGGGGGGTGGGGGAGGGAGGGGGAGGCGGAATCTGTTCAGGTCGGTGCAGCCCGCTCCCCCCGCCCACCCCTGCTTCCCTCCGCTTTTTTCCTCTCTGCCTCAGCGAGAAGGAGGGGCGAGTCGGCCCGGCCCCCTCCCCCGCCGTCCCTCCTGGCAGTGCCGGGCCACTTTTGCTGCCTCCAAACTTTCCCACCACGTGGGCGCCCCGGACCCTCGCCCAACTGGGCGGCTGACGGCACCGTCAGGCTCCAGGTGCAGGATTCACGCTCTCGCCCCCGCCCGCTGACCCCTTCCCGCGGCCGCGCAGGTCCTGCCCCTGTCCCAGCCAATGCTCTCCCGGACCAGAAGAGGCGACCCCCGCTGCCGCCGCCCCCGGCCCTCCTGGGGCGCCCCCTCACGGGCCGGCCTGGCGAGGAGGTGGCGGCGCGGCCTCGGACGCCGCGGGCAGGGATTGTATGAGGACCCAGCCTCGCGGCCCGGAGGCCTCCGAACCCCGGGGCTTGCCGGACTGGGGGGGGGTCTCCGGCACCCGCGCACCAACTGGCAAAGCTTGGCCTCAGTCAAAGGCGGCTTCCAGTCGGGGCTCAGCCACTGCCAGCTTTGTAGGAGTGAGGCTGGATAGAGCCTTCACCTTCCCTGGTCTCCATCTGGAAAGAGGACGGGGAGCAGTAACCTTATCACACGGGCTGGTTGGGAGGCCCAAATGAGGCAGCTGGGCCGAGCTCCTCACAGAACCCGATAAAGGAAGGTTCCAGGGCCACCGTTCTTGGGCCGCCCGACAAGACACTCTTGTCAGTGAAAACCGGACTCCCAGCCCCATCAGAACACCAAGTGCGATTCGTTTTTTCTGTCCCTCCTCACGCCCGCGTCTGGGTCTGGGGCAGCACGACAATGCCCACAGGGAGCAGCGCCCGGGGTCAGGAACACGGCCCCGCCCCCTTCCCTAGCTCGCCGGGACTCGCACCCCCCGTGGCCGAGCCCCGCGACAGGCGTGACTGCGACGCAGAAGCGGGATGGGAGGTCATCCTGGCTTTCCCAGAGATATTGGGGAACAGGGGACGGCGGAGGCGGAGCATGGCCTCCAGCAGAGGGTCCTGCCCCGCCTCCCATCGCGAACCTCTCGGGCCAGCCCTACCGCCCTGGTGCTCGGCCGCGGCCGGGAGCGCAGCCGTGGCCCGCAAGACTGGAGGCCGAGCGCCCCCTCCCTCCCAATCGGAGGAACCGACCCGAAGCCGCGGGGCAAAACGGGCTGGTCTGAGTTTGCCAAACCGAAGTCAGAAGCAGGGGCCCAGGAGGATCCCCGAGATGGCAGCCTCTGCCTCCTTAGGACCTGCTCAGGAGCCCAATTCTCTGCTGCTGCCATCGGGTTTTTCCACCTCTTGCCCTGTCCGGGAGCCTGAAGTCCCTGCGCAGGAGTGAGGTGCTTCTGCCCCCTGAGCAGGCTGCGCCAGCACCTGCACTGCAGCCCATGCCCCTGAGCCAGGCGGGGCCCACCTCACTGGTTTTGCTTGCATCTTCCCACCAGGCACACGTGCTCTGGCCCTCTGGCTCTCCATCACCCCTAGCCACCAACTACTTGGCAAACTCATTTTCAATCTTTATGATCTAGCGCAATCTCTCCTCCTTGGTGGAGCCCTCCCTGACCCTTTTGTGTCCTGAATAGTTATTAGCTTGATTAAGCCCCTCAGCCCAGTGCCTGGCTGTTATCTCCTCACCTGTCTCCTGGGCACAGACCAAACCTCCTGGGTCCTGTCTGTGCCAGATCTGACAGATGATCAGGGAGAGCTTATTGAAGGAATGATAGATTGATTGAATGAATGAGAGAAGTCATTAAGCCAGTGAAGGATTTATCACCCCCTATTCCCCTGCACAAGCCCTGGCAGGAGCAGTCCTGGGCTGCCCATCTACAGACCTTCTTATTGTCAGTCCCCCTGGGCTGGACAGGGCTGAGGAAGGGCGGGAGTGTGGGTGAGGGCTCCCAGCCTGCAGGAAAGTGCAGCATCCTGCCCATTGACCTGGCACCAGGGAGAGGCAAAAGCCACCATGTCCTTGCTGATAGGAGGAGGGGAGAGGAGATAGGGAGGAGGGTCCACACTTTGCTCCCCTGATGGAAGAGCTGTCAGCCCCGCTGCTGGTCATCTGTTGGGAGGGAACTGGGTCAAGCGGTAGTCAGAAACCATCTGCTCGAGAAGCTGGGATTATCCCGCCCTCTGCTGATCCCCCAGCCCATAGGAGCCAAGGGTGTAAATTGAGTTCTTTCAGATCACCTTGTGCTTTAGGGGGGGCCTCCCCATCCCCTCCTGAGGGGCAAGGACCTGTTCCTGTTGCTTCAAAGCCTCATTTAGCGTTGGGCTCAGTTCTTATACTGATGCCCTCAGCCTTAAATGTTGCCAGGGATGTGACTGCGCCTGTCAGTTTTGAATACAGTAATGCACATCAATGCTTTAACCAACGCTCTCCACATGGGGTGCAGGACCAGGCCACCCCACACAGGATGCTGGCTCCTTGCCACCCTCAAGGAACTCTGGCCCAATGGAGGAAGCAGGAAGAAAACATGGTTGCTCTATGGATTCAGGGACACAGGAGATCCTCCAGGGAGCTCAGGGCACTTGCTGTTGCACCAGGGGTTTTTTTGCATAACTCATCGCTAAGTATCCATTTGGAGATGATGAAAATATCCAAAAGTGCTAAGGCAAACCACAAAAGCGAGCTATATGGCTCATTTGCAAAAAGCATTGAGAACAGGTGCACTTCATGGCCACCCAGCCCCTACAGGATATGAGGGTAAAGAGAATGCCTTCACATCAGTGAGCATTGGGGTCCTTGGCTAGGGAAAGGCCTTTGGCAGAATTGGCCTCATGAACCTGACATTCAGTTTCCCACCACTGGCAGAGAAGCTGCTGTTGGCAAACATCGCCATTATGCATCACACCTCTCCAGAACAACTTAACATCTGCATGGAAGGAGGTACCTACCAGGCACAACGCAGCGTCCTGCCCAACCAGCAGCCCAAGACAAAGGAGATGGACAACTACCTCCAGTACTGGAACAAGGATCCAGCCAAGGGTGCCCCCAAGTGGCAAGGGACCAAGCTTAGTTTTATAAAAGCTCAGACACCAACATGAAATGCTGCAGAATGCCCCAAGGCCACCACATGCCTTTGGGGTCAGAGTCAAGTCCTTGATGAGAGAGCAGGCATGGGAGGGTTATTTTGATAAGACAGCCTCATGTTTCTTATCAGGGCAACTGGACAGCTCCCACGTCACAAGGGCCCCAGCGCTGTCTATACCCTTCAATCCCACTGTGGCCTCAGCGAGGATGCCTGTCATCTGTCATCTCTGGCAACTCATGAGCTCCAGGGACCTTCTGTCCTCTTCATCTGTGGCTGCCCAGTGCCCTACACAGGTCCTGACTCAGTGAGTGCTTATGAACTGATGTAGGTTCATCACATGGAATGGATGAAGGAGCTCAGGTGCCCACCTGTAGCTTGCCTAAGACCCTGTAGGTCAGCATTAGGCCTGTGACTCAACACAGTCCCTGAGTCCTAGTCAGCCTGCAGGCCAGATCTCCTCCCCCCAGGCATGAACATGCTCACCCAGGCACTTCACACCTTCTCATGACCCATTCTATTTCCTAAACAGGATTTGACCTCAAACCATGTTATAGGACTTGTCATCCACTGTGTTAATTTTGAGCTGACTTCCTCAGCTCCTGAACTCCTGAAATGTATGGTTTATTAGCAAAAACCATACAAATCATTTTATCCTGGGCCCCATTCTCAGTAAGACCAAGGAGCCGAGAAGGAGCTAGCTTGAAAGGCCTCTCCTCCACTTCACCTAGCAAAGCGGGGCGGGGGCACCGGAGGCTGGTGAGAGTAGAATTTAACATGTTTTGAACACTCAGGAAATATTTCAACAGCAGGTCCTATGGGGATGGCTGTCCAAGTTGGTATATTTTCTAGAAAAAAAATAGAGGCACTAAATACAGCAGTTGGTTAGTGGCCCACTTCAAATTGCTAATCATAAACTATTCCTAGCACAGAATTCCTTCCCATTCATTCAGTAGATATGCTGAACCAGCTTCTGGGGGCACAACAATACATAAGGCATAGTCTCTCACTGCCCCCGCCACCCCAGTCTATTGGGGAGACCAATCCAGGAACCTGAATGGCTCAGGGAGATAACAGAGAAAAAGCAGAAGGGCCAGGCACCTAATTCTGCCAGGAGTCTCATAGGAGGTAGGATTTGAATTGAGCCGTGAGGGCTGGCCCGGTGGTGCACTCGGTAGAGTGCGGCGCTTGGGAGCGCGGCAGTGCTCCCGCCGAGGGTTCGGATCCCATATAGAGACCGGTCCGCTCACTGGTTGAGCGCGGTGCGGGTGCAACACCGAGGTTTGCAATCCCGTTACCGGTCATGAAAAAAGACAAAATGAATTGAGCCGTGAAGCAGGAGAGGCATTTTCCAGGTAGATTCCAGGTGAACATAAGAGAGGGAAGGTGGTCAAGGACAGGGGTCCACATGAGGAACCACATGACAGTAGGATCTAGGTGAGGAACCATGGCACGTACCTCATAGCTAGGCTCGGGGAGGGGCAGAGGTGCCTCATCAGCCCAGAAAGGGATGGTAAGGCCAAGACGGCTTGTGACCCCTTGCAGGGATGCTTCAGGAGAACATTGGCAGCACAGTAGTGGCTGAGAGGCCCAGCCTATTGGGGAGATGAGGGCCAGAGGCAAGAGGGTGTCAGGGAGGATCAAAAGGGAGGAAGGGGAAGGATAGGACTCCTTCCATCAGAACACCCGGACTGGGCAGCTTACGGAAGATGGAAGGGCTGACCAAGAAGAGTTGAGGATTCCCCGTCCTGTGTTTCTGCCATGAGAGTTCCTATAGACAGCTCCCAGATTCCGATGTGGGGCCAAGAACCCAGTGAGCCAGGTATTTTGCAATTAACACAGGAAAGGTGGAGCATTTCTAAGTATTTTGCTTTGGGTCTCCAAACTCAAAAGGTGTCTTGCCCTTCATCTTATTGGCAAAAGCACTCTGAGACTGGTCACTAGTCACCCACTTTGGTGCAAGTACCAAACTCCCGTTTAATAGCTTTCCTCAATCCTCAGCGGTTCTTAAACTTTAAAGTTGACCTTTGCAATCTAGTCCTTGGAGGACAAGAAGTGACCTGCCTGTCCAGTGAACCACCAGCAAAGAAATATGCACAGTGACCCAAGATAGTACTTCTTAGGTTCTGATGGGTGACGGGGACAACACAGAGACCAAGGATATTGCCCTTGTATACTGACAAACCATCTTTTTTGCTTTTTAAATAAAATCAATAAACTGGCTATTCCACTTATGTATATGAAAGCTGAGGACCTCTATTCCCAGTGTTCAACACTAACTCCTGCCCCCAGCTACCCACGAGTACTCCATGTGCATGTAACTCAACACCTGTGAAGCTACCATGGTAAAGCGGCTCAAAGAGAAAACTATCATCATGTTGGGCTTTACACAGTTTCTCCCCTTCCTAAGAGTCTAATTGAATTTTCGCAGTCAGTAAAATGGTCTCCGTTTTGCCATTGAAGGGAACTCTGCAGGGGGAACCACTGTGGTTATAGAAGGAGGAAAAACCCAGAGCCATTACCAGCTTAATCTCCACCCCAGCCCAGACCTATTGATTGGCTCATACAGCTGTGTTGATTTTCAGCCCTTCCCCTCTTGGGCTGGACACACTTGTTCACGCTCCCTTCCTTGCCTTCCCACTTAGTCCCCAGCCCTGGGCCCCAGGCCCCCGAGTCAGGTGCTAATCTGAGAAAGGAGGCATTCCTCACACACCTCCTTGGGCCCGAGTACATTCAACTCTTTCAGGGCCTTCCCTTTCCCATACATTAGATTATGGGTTGAAATGCTGGAGGGGAAAAAAATGAATGAAAAGGGAAGGATCAGATTTTTGCTTGATGGATAAATGTATTTATATCTAATTAGGAGACCCCACTGTGAAGGGGGTAAAGTGTTTTAGTTCTGGCCTATTGAAGGACAAACACCTATTGTGCACTCGCTAAGTTGGTAAAAGATTCCCAGAGTCAGTCTGCATTGGTGCTGCCACTAGAACTGTGAGCAGAGCCCAAGCTACCAGGGCTTGGGAGTCCTCGGGGCTCCACCTGCCAGTGGGGCCCGTCTACCCAGAGATTTTTCCTGAAAACTAATCTCAAGTCAGGGATTGGAGGATTTGCTTTCATACACCTCTTTAAAAAGAAGAAGGAGAAGAAAGATGTAAAGATAGATTAGATAGATCAACAAGCATCTTTAGGATGAGGATTCACAAAAAGTTAAACTTTCAGTTGACATTCTTGTCCATTAGAGTGCCTAATGCTCCTCATACCCCCACAACTTCCTACTGATCCAGAAATAACAGCACAGAGCAAGAAACTTAATGAAAAGGAGAAGAACCTGCTAATGCCTTAGAGTGCCTAATGCTCCTCATACCCCCACAACTTCCTAATGATCCAGAAATAACAGCACAGAGCAAGAAACTTAATGAAAAGGAGAAGAACCTGCTAATGCCTTGGTTTTCATCAGGGGTACAGGTGCTGAAACATTCCACTGATACTACCACCAGTCAAAAGAAGGTACCGCATCCTTTATTATAAAATCCCTTTAGGACAGTGTGTGGATCTGTAAACAATGTTGTCAAACTGTAATGTACCTGAGCTCAGCTAACCACAGGTCCTCTAGGAGTTAAATCAGTGCACACTCTCAGACACACGCATTCACCCTGTAATTATTGAGGATAACCTTCTCCAGCCGCAAGGGCATATTCTGGGTGCAGGGACCCTTTGCATGGTCTCCAGCCCTCCCTGATGCCTCCACCTATTGTTCAAAAAATGTTCTCTTGTTCTACATTTGTACAAAGAACTAGTAGGAACAGAGCACCATACCAGGCAATGACAGGGCTGTGGCCCTGTCCTGCCTTACATCAAATAGCAGGGAGGGCCCCTTGCAGCAAGCACTGGGCCACTGAAGGCCGTACATGAGGATCAGTGAGCAGGAGAGGCCCTAGTGCTGCGGTGTTTACAGGGGATGGAGGGAAGACTTGGGGAGAGCTTCCTGGGAGGGTGCTGAGCATTGGAGTTACCCCGGAGGAGGTGGGGCTGAGCTGGTCAGGGTCAGGGAGGGTTGTCTGGCCAGGGCCTTCCAGACAACAGACTCCTAAAGACCCAAGTGGGGTTGTGGTGACTTGGCAAGGTCACCACACCAGCCCTGAGCTGCTTCCTCTGCTCTTCTCTTACATGAAAGAAGAAAACCTTGAGAGGCTAAGCCATCATTATTTGAGGTTTTGTGCTGTAGGTAGCCAAACCTAATGCTGATTCAAGGAGACGTAAAGTTGAGGTGGGATGGGCACCATGTCAGGGAGCAGAAGGAAAAAGAAGAAAAGGGGCAGTCAGGGAGGTGGAAGGGCAACCAGGACAGGGTGGTGTCCCACAGCCAGAGGGGTCACAGGAACAGGGGTTGGCCAAAGACATCAAGTGCAACAGGTGGTCCCCGAAAGAGGCCCAGGAGAGGGGGCTGCAGTTGGCAATCAGGGGCGGAGGTGGGGTCAGGTGGCAGGAGGCAGATGATCTCTGAATTAAGAAACTGACCGGGGCAAGGAAGCCCCCAAAAGTGAAGGGCAAGCGAGGGCTGACACTCAGAAGTAGAGACAAGCAGACTATGTGGGGAGGTCCCCAACACGGGGAGAAATACTGCTAGGGCGTCTGAGACCGAGAGGTGGAAGTGGGACCCAGACTGAAGTAAGGCCTGCGAGTGAGACACAGGGGATGGTGGTGGACCAAGAAGGTCAATGCAGGGACCGAATTCAAAGGACCGGATGGTATATGTGTGTTTTGAAGGGGGGTGTTGGGGGGGGTGTTGGGATGTGTGTATTGGGGGATACAATGTGGTGTGTGTGTTAGGGTATGTATGTCTTGAGGCATATGTGTTGTGTGTGGTGTGTTTGGGGGTATATGTATTGGGGTGCATATGTTGGGGTGGGTGGGCGTATGTACATGTATGCATGTACAGATATATGACTGAGGCCCCAAAATACAGGAACACAATGACCAGTCTCAGGACGCTTTTGCCAATAAGATTAAGAGCAAGGGAAACTCAATATTAAGGCTGTTTCTATATATTTACTAATGACTTCAGGAGAGACTTAGAAGTTAGACTTCATAGGAGTCTGTGATTGGTTGGATGAGGAATGGCATGTGGCTGGCATCAGGGCCATGTTTCCCCCCGGGAACAGCTGACATTAGGGATATGTCCTTACCATTCTCAGTGTGGCCACCAGCCCCAACCCCTGGGCCCCGTGGGCTGGAAAGCTGTGGGCTTGCCGAGGCACACGTGCTTTTCCTGTGTCCCCACAGCCACAGAAAGAACACATTTCCCAAAGCCCTTGAGACAACTTTCTGTGGAAACATGAGGAAAGACGAGCCTGCAGGATGAGACGGGATAAGCAGACGGAGGCAGCCCTCTTCTCCACAAAAGGTCCCCAAGGGGCAGCTGAGAAGAAGCCAGTGACTCTCCTCAGAACTGCCCATGAGCATCAACCCCAGAACCCCAGGACTCAGTGGACAGCTCGCCTCTGGAAAGGCGACGCAAGAGCCAGAAGAACATGGGGACCATTTTCTTAAGCAGGTGCCCATCCCCAGTCTGAGGTGGGGCATAAGGTGTGCTGCTTTTGGAGACAAAGCGGTGACAGCCGAGCCTGCCACAGGAAGCATGCAGGCTGCTGAGCTGCAGCTCCGTGTATGCTACAGTAGGAGGAATCGTTCTTCAGTTAATGCGTAGTTATTTTTTACTACTTCACTCCTATCTTGCAATCTATTTCAGTGCTTCTCCACTGTCAAGGGAAAGCTCACAACCCTTATGCTGCCAGGAGGCTTTCCATCTTGCCCCCTGCTGCCTCCAGCTTTCGATGAGGAATCCCCTTCCTCACTCTCAGCAACTCACTCACTCAGTTTCTCTCCTCCAGCCACTGACAGTTACTTCTAGTGACCCCACCAGGCCCTAAATCTCTAAGATGACCAATCATCCTGGCTTGCCAAGGATGAAGGGTTTCCCAGGATGTGGTAAAACTAGGACGCCCTGAACAAACCAGGTCACACTACATACCTCACTGTTTGGGGGGTGGGGGGTGGCAGCTGACCAGTACAAGGATCAAACCCTGCACTTTGCCGTTATCAGCACCACACTCTAACCAACTGAGCTAACCAGCCAGCCCTCACATCTCTACTTCTGCTATTTGCTCAGCCTGCAGTGTCTTCCCCTGAACGTTGTCTGCCAGGAAAACACTCCATCCAAACTTCACACAAGCATCACTGCCTCCCCAAAGCTTCTCCTAATCAGCTCTTGCCTCCATCAAAACCAGAGAACCTACTCCTAGTGGCCTGCACAGAGCTCCAGTGTACCCTGCGATACTTTACTGTCTGGATGAGCTTGATTCTGTCTTGCCTGCTAGACTGTGAGCTCCCCGAGGACAAGGACCTGTGCTGTCTTCACATCCCTCCTGCTGTCACTAGGTCCAGCAGGTCATGGGTGAGCCATGGGTGTTTGCTGAAGTATTTTCAAATACTTTTCAATGGGAAAGGTCTGTGATGTACGGCCACCCCCAAGACAAATTTTTTTCAGAAATTCTGAAAATTCATCATATTCTACGCATTCATTTAACAAATACTTATTAAGTACCTATCATATGCCAGGCCCAGGACATATAGCAGTGAACAAGACAGTCAAAATCTGTCATCATGTAACTTACAATCTAAGGGGGAACATAGACAGTAAACATGTTTTTTAAAGTAAATAATTTCAAGGAGTGAAAGAAAAGTCCACGAATTTTTTAAAAGGAGGTTAATCGTGGGCTGCTGGTAGCTCAGTTGGTTAGAGCATGGTGCTGATAACACCAAGGTCAAGGATTTGTATCCCCATACCACCAAAAAAACCACAAGGTTAATGGGAAGCAGACTGGTCAGGGGGGTATCTAAGTCAGGAAAGGCCTCTCTGAAGAGGTCATTTCAAAAGATAAGAGGCAGTCACAGAGATCTGGGGAAGGATTCCAAGATGGGACTAAACTTAGAATGTTCAAGGAACAGAAAGAAAGCCAGTGTGGTTGGAACAGAGAAAAGCAAGAATAGAATGATTGAAGGAAACAGGAGAGGTAGAGGCCAGATCACATTAAACTTTGCAAATTCTACTCCTCTGGATTACATTTGGCCTCAATCAGTGTCTAGCTCAAGATATTTCTCACATAGAAGAAGTTCAGAATTAGGAATTCCAAGCCTGGTATGATGGCTACATGGTCGTAGGGGATCATGCTCCTTCTATCTTTCTTATGAAGTTTCCATCATTAAGTTTGCTTCATAATCACAAAATGGCTGCTGGAACACCATCCATCACATCTCCATGTCAAGCAGTAGAAAGGAAGAAAG